ATATATAACAAACTTGTGTTGAAATTGGATATTTGACGGACTCTGATCCCAGAGTTTCACTGAGGGACCATCAATAAAATCCTGTTTCATTTGAAGATGATTGTTTTCAACAGCTTTCATGTCATGTGACCCACTGACTTCAGATCATAGCAGGTTTTATTGCTGCTCTAGATAAACAGGGGACATATTTGTATTAGATTGTTGTGCTTCTGTTCCTTTACATGAATATTTGAAATATATTTTGTTTTGAATCGTATTATGATTTTTTTTTTTTAATCGTCAGTTGGTTTTAAGCTGTTTAATGTTCTCATTTCTACGCTGCTGATCGTGACCCTTCCTCCTCAGACAAAGTCCTGCAGCAGGATTTGTTCTGCAGCAGAATCTGATGCTCAGGCGTCTCAGTCCAACACTGACTTCAGTCATCCGGTTTACAAAGAGATCGCTGTGGCCAACGGACACATCAACCGCATGTCCAAGGACGAGCTCCGGATCAAGTTATCAGAGCTGAAACTCGACACGAGGTGAAATGTTTTTACACTTTGGAGAGAAACCTTTTAAGAACTTGATCTCTTCTCTTTCTCACTGAACTTCTTTGAACTTATATTTCAAAATCAATGTTTCTGTGTTTGTGTTAAAAGAGGAGTGAAGGATGTGATGAAGAAGAGGTTGAAGAGCCACTATAAGAAGCAGAAGCTGATGCAGTCCGCAGGTGAGGGGGGGCCCACCGACACCTACTACGACTACATCTGTGTGGTCGACTTTGAGGCGACGTGCGAGGAAGATAATCCGTCGGACTTCCTGCACGAAATCATCGAGTTCCCTATGGTCCTCATCAGCACACACACGTTAGAAATCGTGAGTTCATTTTGTGATGAAGACGGAGTTGTTCACTTTTTAATATGCAAAGTACGTTTTGTGATTGCTGGTGTGTTTGATTTGTAATTTATTTTGCAGGTCGACACCTTTCAGGAATATGTGAAACCTGAGTTGAACCCGCAGCTTTCAGACTTTTGTGTGAAGTTAACAGGAATAACGCAGGTCGGTGGATCTCGGTTTGTGTTGAGTGTCTTCTTTGATCAGCATTGTGACAATAACGAATGAAGGAAATGTCTTTTTGTGGAACAGAAAATGGTTGACGACGCAGACCCGTTCCCTGAAGTTCTTCAGCGAGTCGTGGCTTGGCTCCAGGAGAGAGAACTCGGGACAAAATACAAATATGCCATCCTGACTGATGGGTACGATTTCTCACTTGAGTTCTGCAGCAGAATTAGAACAAAACCTCCGAACTCACTTCAGTAAAAACTTCATCTGACTGTTAATGTCACTTTCTGTCACACGTCGACTCCAGGGCCTGGGATATGAGCAAGTTCCTCAACATCCAGTGTCGTCTGAGCGACATCCGATATCCTCAGTTTGCAAAGAAGTGGATAAACATAAGGAAATCCTACGGCAACTTCTACAAGGTTTGACTTTTTAATTCTTCTTCACATTAACTGAATTAATCGGTTTTGCAAGAAAACTTTAATTAAATAAAAATACAACATTTTTAACATTATGTGAGAAATTAGACTTTTTGCCATTCAAGATCTTTTCACTGCTGTTTGTGTTATGGACCAACGTCTGCACTGACAGACTGAGCTCCACTTTCTCTTTTTAACTGTGTAATAAAGCTGCTGTGGAAGTGGCTCCCCCAAGTGGAAGGTTACTGTTATTAGACTTTTCTCACATCAAAGTTGCTGCAGCAAAACCACCAACAACCCCCCCATCCCCCCCTCCAGGTCCCTCGCACGCAGACGAAGCTGAGCACCATGCTGGAGAAGCTGGGCCTGAAGTACGAAGGGCGGCCTCACTCCGGCCTGGACGACTCGCGCAACATCGCCAGGATAGCTCTTCGCATGCTGAAGGACGGGTGTCAGCTGCGCGTCAACGAGCGGATGCACGCCGGTCAGCTGCTGTCGGTCCCCAGCTCGGCTCCTGTGGAAGGAGCCCCCCCGCCGCACAGCCCCCGCAGTAGAGAGTAACGCCACAGACTCCGCCCCCCCCCCCACAAGAGTTTAAAAAAGAATCCAAAGCACTTTACAGACTCGAGGTAAAGTTTTTATTTTGGAGCTCGGTGACGGGGATTTGAGTCTGAAAAATAAAAGAGATGTAATGTAGATTTTTCAGACTGTGCAGGTCTTCGATTGTTTCTCTCTAATCTCATCTGCAGTTGTTTTTAAACCCACGTGTGAGGTCGTTCCACTGTGCTGTGGGAGGAGCTTCAGTCTTATCTGTGTTAAATCTGCCTCACGCCTTCTCAAGCTGCTAAAAACATCCACAACATGGATCCACATGAATTTTATTTCTCCCTTGATTGTGAGGATTTAGTTTTTTTTTTATTCCTGGGTTTGATCCCAAGAAAAAAAAAAACACTTTAGAGGCAAAAAAAAAAAAAAGTGTTGATATTCACTTTGTCTTTGTGCCAATCGTGGTGCTGTTCTAAACAAATCTACACAAATGCTGCTACGCTGTGTTGTGTGAAGAGCTTCAGAGCCGCAACATCGAACGACCGCTTTCCCACAGCGAGTCCAAGAGAACTCTCATCGTCTGCGTGGAGATCCTGAAACTATCACGTGAAAACGTTGACGAACAGCTGAGGACACGTGAGTCCGTTGTGAGTTCTGTGCGAGTTCCGCCTCTGTTGTAGGATCCCGACACCTTTTGTATGGAATTAATGTTTATTTCACGGAGCCTGATCTATTTTAACAGGAATAAATGTTCTTCCGAATGCTAAATCTTGTGTCGCCTCATGTTTGAATTTCAAGCGTCACGTGTTTGATTCCTCAGCTTGTTTCTCTGTGGTCTCTACTTCTTGATTGTAGCGAGATAAAGATGTTCTGAATGTATTTCTAACTTAATCACTGCGCCCAAGTCATATTTCATTAAACTAAACAGACCAGAGGAACAAACTGAGACCAGAGTCACTTCAACAAAAT